CAATACTTAGTTTAAATACATTTGTAAAACAACATCACTATATAGTAATAACTTAAAATATAGTATTTGTATAAGTGCAACAAGGTCAATAGACACCTCATTTCATTGGCTCTCCGATTGAGTGTAGAACAGTGCAAAACTAAATTAATGTATGCGCAAAAATGCAACCCTGCATTTTGAGTTCATTAAAAAATCCAAACATTTTCAGGGGAAAGACTAAATGAGCCCCACCGAAGCCCCTCCCCCTACTTCCTCTCGGTAGCCATAAGCCCCCTCGATTCCTGCATTGCCCCGCCACCCCCCCCCTTCCCATACCTATCAACGTGACACTACAGGGGCGAAACTAAGATGGGACCAAAAGCAGACCCAGTAGTTTGCAACAACTGGAATGAATTCATGTTATGTACTGCGTGCCTTAATGCCTTAATTTCGCGCTGATAGCTGCCCTCCACCCCACCCACCAACTTCTGAAATGTGCCTTCCCTGAATCAAATTTTCGGAAAGAAAAACTAAATTCATGTGAACGAAAAAATGCTCCCATTGCTTTGGAATTTTTGAAAAAAAATTCAGCTCAGACCTCTCCCCACTTTTGCTAAAGGGGGGGGGGGGAGGGGGGACGCCGTCAGCCTTCCTCACTTTCTTTCCAACTCCCCCCCCCCCAAATCAAAAAACAATTTCGGCACATTTTTAAATTTAAAAAAATACAAGTGGGACCATTAGGTTCCCCTAAGTGGGGGGGGGGGGGGGGGGGGACGCCCTCAGCCTTCCTCACTTTCTTTCCAACCCCCCCCCCCCCCCAAATCAAAATACAATTTCGGCACATTTTTAAATTTAAAAAAATACAAGTGGGACCATTAGGTTACCCTAAGGCAGCGATTCCCAACCTCTGTAAAGCGCATCTCTGGGGCCGCTTTGGTATACGCACAAATTTTATTGATAATTTCGGAAGAGGCAAAAAAATTGTTTTTTTTACAACCCTTTCTTTAAGATAATATTTATTCGGAGTGTACGTCTAATCAATGTCTATAGGAGTGAAACAAGTTTGAGAACCTCTGATCTAAGGGATGCCACAATTTGAATGAATTTATTTTAAGGGGCGGAGTTACAGCTGGCCCTGGTCGTCATTATGCCCAAATTTGGCCCCTGATAGATGTACCAGCAATATTTGGCCCTGATAGAATATAGATGTGCCGCCCAAATTTGGCCCTGATAGATGTACCGCTCAAATTTGGCTCAGATAGATGTACCACCCAAAGGCGTAGTTGTGTCACCCACCTTCTACGATAAAAAGTCTGCAGTTAGCAGAAAATGGCGTACCTCCATAAAAAGAAAAAAAAGCGACACTGCCTGAACATATAAATCCCCCCCCCCCCCCCCGTCTGAAAAAAAAACCGCAAACCACCCCCTTCAAAAGTTAAACGGGGTTTAGTTACAAGGGTTTATTGGGGGGGGGGGGGGGGGGTAGACTACTCTGTATATGGTAAAACCGTAGCTGGTATGACATTCACACAAAGACAATTCCGACAACTCCTAAGACGTGGAGCGCATAAAGAGCGCAGTGAAACACATGAGACAATGCTGGTTACTGCATTTTGATCTATTTCCATTCTTCTGGACTAAGTCTTGCCATTGGAGCAATTAGACAAGGACGAGGACGAGGGAGTGAGGCTGACGAATCGGACAACTTTCCCTTACTTTAATCGAAATACAAATATGTACGTCTGGAAACGGGGTCAGCGAGTCGTCTAGCTATAAAACTCTTAATGCCCTCCCCAAAGCAGCCCCCCCCCCTTTCAATCACGAAAAGTGCCCTCTCAGGCCTCGAAGCGGCACGTTGAATATCTCCTGCTAGGATAGCCCACGCCCCTAATTTCACTCAATTGACTAGCTTTACGGGGGCAATCTCAGCCAAAGGACATCCGCGCGGTCAGGGACGTTGCTCTCACAACATCAGCAGTCGACTTTCCCAGGAGTCGGGATGGTGCATTAATGTCATAATATCTTCCCCTTCCCATCCCGGGGAAAGCGTCAGACGACCTTTAATAGGGTTTTCTACATGGGTCTGCACCTCGTTTATAGTTCACGAAGTAGCTGGGACGAAACGGTCGCCTAGGAGCACCCTCCTTAATGGCTGTGTAAGTAGAACATTTTCCACGAGGCTGCCACTACCCACCTCATGTCTCATATCCAGCAGCGACCGACAACGTAGTAATCATGATCTTTACCCTTTTTCTACCATTATTTCGACTCCAGATATGTCCATAGCTGGCAGTTGCGACAACTCGGCCGGTACCATGCGTGTCCATAGCTGGCAGTTATGTCCATAGCTGGCAGTTGCGACAACTCGGCCGGTACCATGCGTGTCCATAGCTGGCAGATATGTCCATAGCTGGCAGTTGCGACAATTCGGCCGGTACCATGCGTGTCCATAGCTGGCAGTTATGTCCATAGCTGGCAGTTGCGACAATTCGGCCGGTACCAGGCGTGTCCATAGCTGGCAGTTATGTCCATAGCTGACAGTTGCGACAATTCGGCCGGTACCATGCGTGTCCATAGCTGGCAGTTATGTCCATAGCTGGCAGTTGCGACAATTCGGCCGGTACCATGCGTGTCCATAGCTGGCAG